CCCTGGTCAGCCCAAGGTTCCATGGGAACTAAGTCTGCACGCAGGTGCAGAGGACCCCTTTAAAAGATAAGTCCCTGCCCCTTTACGCTCTCTGTTTCTCTCTGTTTCTCTGTTCCTCCGTTTCCCTCTCTCTGTTTCCCGCTCTGTCTCTCTATGGCGACCGGCCATGGTGGTCAGCCATTTACCCCTGTTCCTCTTCTTAGTCTCCCCATTCTGCCAGGCCTTATAATAAACTTATAGTCTTATCAGTATTTCTCTTTTCTTCTTTTTAAACAAAACAATAACAATTACCACCTCAGTTTTAGCATTTATTTATTTATTTATTTATTTTGTATTTATCTCCTATGCTGTTCTGTCCTCATTTTCCCTGTCACAGAGCCAGAGAAATAGTCTGATGGTCTGACCCAAGGGAGGGCTTTAAAGGACATATGGAGAAAAGGCATGATTAAATCTGAAATGGGAGGGCCAAATCCCCTATTCTAGAGTTGCTTTTTGGTTTAAAGAGCACAGGTCACTTTGACAACAGCAGCTGCTTTGTTTTGATTGAGAAGGAGCTCACTAGCACTATTTGCATCCAAGAAAGTGTTTAGAGAAGTTTGGGCTGGTAAAAACTGATGTGTAGAAATATAGTGGAGAGCCAGAGTGAAGACAGAAAATGACTTGAAAGTGAGAAATATTTTAGGACTTCTGTCATTATGAAGTTGTCTGAGTTAGTGCCTGCCTGTCCCTCCTGGCACTTTTGCCCCGCCTACTCTGAGCCAAGGCTGTGGCTCCTCTGTCCCTGAAGTGGCTCTTTTGAGGCTGCTGTGGGCAGGTCTAGGGCATAGGGCTGGGCTGTGGTGTCTTGAGGAAGCGGCCTGGGGCGGCACTCAAAGCTTCTGCCAATACTTTCCACAGCCACCATTGCAACTCTGGTCATCTTTAAAAAACACAGACCCGCAACTTCCTTGCTTTCTTGTAGTTGAGCTCACCTTCAGGAGCCAGTGCAGCCACCGACCAGGAAGGCCTCCAGCTATGTGCTGCTGCTGCTGCTGCTGCTGTGATCTGTGGTTCTGTTGTTTTGTTTGTTTTCTTTTGTCTTTTCTCTATTTGTCTGTAAAATACCCTGCTGTGGTAGGGGCATTTGGCTCAACTAATACAGTAGAAGCCAGTTTTGATTTTCATAAAGGTATCATCAAAGAAAGAACCTTTTGCCTTGTTCTCTGTGACATCATGAAGCAAAAGTAACTGAAGTACTGATGTCACCTTTTGTCTTCAAAATCTTGTATCCCTATTTTTGACTGTTTTTGTCTTTTGTCGTGCCCCTCCCCCCCAAGTGTGTTTTGGAGCAGACTGGCCGTAATGGGGGGGGGTGAACTACAATTGAATCAATTTCATAGTGCAAATATATCAACAGGAAATGTATTTGGCCCTCATAGGTCATATATTCTCTTTAAAATTTTTACCAATATGTTCAGATGCCTTGAAATTTACAGGAACTTTGTCAGGGAACCAAGGGCAGATTTTTAGAACAAAAATAAAGAAGTTACTTTTTGATGTTTGTTAATGTTTATTTATTTTTATAATTGTAATTAGACCAATTTTAAATAAGAAACAAGCTTCTTAGTTGTCAATCCCAGTTCCCTCTCCTCCTCCCCTGCCCCCCACCCACCCCCATTTCAAACCCTTTGTGCTCCCCATGGAGGGGGAGACCTTCCATGGGGATCTTCAGAGTCTGTCACATCATTTGGAGCAGGGCCT